TGGAATTCTAAGTTCGGGTGGCACCAAGGTGCTTGTTTTAACATCCTCTCTCCTCCTGCTTGATCTGGCTTTTCTCAGAGTAGTTGTTTCAGGTGTTAACCCAAGAAATGTGCAGTCTGAGGCAGCATTTGACTTGCTTTGGGCTTCTTTTTGTGTCTTAACTGCGGCGGCTGGAATCGCCGAACCTCCCTAATCCCCACTTCCTTCTCTGTCCCACTCCAGTGTGTTTCCTGTAACAAATCCTTCAAGAAGCTCTGGTCCCTCCATGAACACATCAAGATTGTCCATGGATATGCAGAGAAGAAGTTCTCCTGTGAGATCTGTGAGAAGAAGTTCTACACCATGGCCCACGTGCGGAAACACATGGTTGGTGAGTTGGTGGTGGAGCCTCCAGGGGGTCCTGGGGGGTCTCCTTGTGGGTCTTGACTCATTCTGGAAAGAAAAATAATAAGGCTGGGAGAGCTGGGGGTGTTCACCTGGAGAAGAGAAGGCTCCAGGGGGACCTGAGAGCCCCTTGCAGGGCCTAAAGGGGCTCCAGGAGAGCTGGAGAGGGACTGGGGACAAGGGATGGAGGGACAGGACACAGGGAATGGCTTCCCACTGCCAGAGGGCAGGGATGGATGGGATAGTGGGAAGGAATCCCTCCCTGTGAGGGTGGTGAGGGGCTGGGATGGATTTCCCAGAGAAGCCGTGGCCCCATCCCTGGAAGTGTCCAAGGCCGGGCTGGAACTTGGAGCACCCTGGGCTGGTGGAAGGGGTCCCTGCCCGTGGCACAGGGGGTGGAACTGGATGAGTTTTAAGGTCCTTCCACCCCAAACCATTCTGTGATTCCATGAAAACAAGACAAACTGATTGTCTGAGCTTTCTGCTCAGCACAGAGATCAGACCTGTGGTGCTGGGCAGCAGGAGGATGGGAATGTTTGCACATCCACGTTTGGGAGCTGTCAGCTGGGATCACCTTCCTGCTCAGAATGGGAGAGAAAAGCTGGTTCAGGAGCTGTTTGTGTTCCCCTGCCCCCTCTAACGGCCTGTTGTGTTGCAGCACACACCAAGGACATGCCATTTACATGTGAAACCTGTGGAAAGTCCTTCAAGCGCAGCATGTCCCTCAAGGTCCATTCCCTGCAGCACTCGGGGGAGAAACCCTTCCGCTGTGAGGTGAGAGAGCTCCTGCTCAGGGTGCAGAGACCAGGGCATGGCAGTGCCAGGGGGCAGTGCCAGGGGAGCTGAGTTCACCTAGAAATGAGGGGCAGGTTCATCAAAGTTTTGGGAGAATTCTTCTCCCCGTGGGGAGCAAGGCAGGAGCACCTGGGGGTGACCCAGAGCTGGGTGTGGTTGGCTGTGTTTTTTCTCACACTGGAGCAGGATTTGAATCCCAGTTTTCCCTTCATAGGAAAGCCTAAGTCCAACTCCAGGAATCCTCCCTGTCTTACCCAGTAACTTGGAACAGATAGAAGTGGCCACAGTGGAAATAATCAAATTATTGCTCGATTTTCATGTGTGGGATAAGTGGTTGTGCTCCAAACTGTTCCTCCTGGAGATCTGAGCCAGTGCTCTGAGTTTGGGTTCATTAATCAGTGTGTGTGTGGTGGGATGGGGCACAGGATCTCCCTGCCACACTCCCAGGAGTTTGGGGTTGGGATTTCCTGCCTGCCTCGGGAAGGGGATGGCGTGGGACAGACTTCCAGTGGTGTGTGTGGAGCAGGGAATGCCTCAGTCACCTGGGGGGGATGTTTGGGGGGGTCACAGGACGGGGACAGAGGGGATGCAGAGCCCTTCCTGTTCCCACAGGGGACATGGAGTAGGAATGGTGGTAGAACAGCTCGGGGATGAGACTTGTAGGGACAGAAATGACCTCCTGCCAATAAAACCCATCTGGGAAAGGCCCGTGTGGAGCTGTGCTGTTTGGTGTGGAGCAGAGTCCTCTAGTGGCTGCAAACCCTCCCTGGGATGCCTCGAGCCACCAGCAGTGCTGGAATAACCGAGTCTCTGCCAGGATTTCAGTGCCAGCTGAAGGTTCTGACTCTTCCAAAGCTCCTGTGCCAGCAGAGCTTTAGTACAGCCCAAATCCTGCTCAGTAAATTCCCACTAAATAATTTGAATTCTGCAGTCTGTGTGCCCTAGCCCAGGCGTCCTTTACTCCTCCCCACAGTCCCCTGCAGTGTCTCCTGTGCCTGGATCCCACTGCTGCTGTTCTTTCTCTTGCAGAACTGTGATGAGAGGTTCCAGTACAAGTACCAGCTGCGCTCCCACATGAGCATCCACATTGGGCACAAGCAGTTCATGTGCCAGTGGTGTGGCAAAGACTTCAACATGAAGCAGTACTTTGATGAGCACATGAAAACACACACTGGTAAGAGCTTGTCGAAGGAGAAGCCACAAGTACCTTGGCAAAACACTTCCCTTCCTTGGGATTTGGGGTTATCCGACTGGAAAATCAGACAGGAGAGGTTCATACACCCCCTTAAAGGTTAAATCTGTAGGGCTGTGGTTCACTGTGAGGAAAGGGAGAGGTCAGACCTCGTATTTTGGCCTGAAGGAGCCCCTTGCCAGTGCCCTTACAAAGGATTGTTTCAGGCATCAAAATCCAAAGGTGAGGGAGGAATTTCAAAGTCTGAGGCTCCTGTGGAGCATTTGCTGAAGTGAAAGAGGAATTCCCAGAGTCTGAGGCTTCTGTGGAGCCCCTTCATTTGCAGAAGTGAGGAGGGAATTCCCACAGTCTGAGGAATTCCCACAGTTTGAGGAGTTCCCAAAGTCAGAGGGATTCCCTCAGTCTGAGGCTCCTGTGGAGCATTTGCCACGGGCGGAGCAGCCCCATTCAGTCAGTTTGTGGGGTGTGCAGTGATTTTGGGGGTGTGCAGTGATTTTGGGGAGTGTGTGCAGTGACTCTGGGGGTGCCCAGGCCGTGGCTGACCCGTGTGTGTGTGTGTGGGGCAGGAGAGAAGCCCTTCATCTGCGAGATCTGCGGGAAGAGCTTCACCAGCCGGCCCAACATGAAGCGGCACCGGCGGACGCACACGGGGGAGAAGCCGTATCCCTGCGACGTGTGCGGGCAGCGCTTCCGCTTCTCCAACATGCTCAAGGCACACAAGGAGAAGTGTTTCCGCGTCACCAGCCCCGTCACCGTGCCCGCGGCCGTGCCCATCCTGCTCTCCTCCTCCTCCTCCTCCTCCCCCGCCGTGCCCGCCGTGCCCGGGCCCCCCTCGGCCCCCGCCCCGCCCGTGCCCCTGAGCCCCGTCAGCGCCGCTCCCCCCCGGCCCGTCCCGCACCCCTACTCGCACCTCCACCTGCACCCCCACGCCCACCACCCCCACCACCTGCCCGTGCCCCCCGTGCCACACCTGCCTCCCCCCCCGGCCCTGTTCAAGAGCGAGCCCCTGAACCACCGCGGGCAGAGCGAGGAGCCCTTCCTGCGGCACCTGGCCGAGAAGAACAGCCCAGCCCAGCACCACTGACGGCCCCGGCGCTGCCCCTCCAGGGTACCGGGGTTACTGGGGGAGGATCTCTGGCTCAGCCCCCCACGTGCCCCCGGAATCACTCAACGAGGAAAAACAAAACCCCCCGATTTTGGTCGGCGCCCGTTTCCGAACCCCGGGACCGACAGGACCGAGGGAAAAACCCCCACTTGGGTCGTGGTTTCTTTTCCCCCCCCTCCTCCCGGTGACTTTTATGAATTTCAGACACTGAGACTCGTGGAATTTTATAATTTCATATCAGCTGATGAGGTATGCTTGCTTTTATATCCCGGACTTCTCCTCAAAGAGGAGACAGGCCTGGTTTTCTTTGTACTAATCGGAAAGGCTGTGAGATTAATACAGAGCATTAATTGTATCACTGTGTATGTAACGGATTCCTTTCAGCTTCTGGTATCACAGTATATTGGAGCATTATAAAGAAAGGCAAAAAAAAAAACCCCCTCCTTGTTTTGTGTAGCTCTCCTAACACACTCTTTATTTTACTACAGAAATTATTTTAGAGTTTTTTGTATAGACCTATTTAGTAGTCTGTTTCTAAAAACGAAAATTGTATTTCAATAAGCGGTGTAATTTTTTCAGTGTAGCTGGACCTATGTTGTATAATAGATAAATTTTTATAATCATCGAAAAATGTGATTCTTAAAAAAAAAAAAAGATGCTTATAGCTTCTATAGTTAAAGTTATTCTTACAACCACACGACTTAAAGGTGCTTCAGAGAAGAAAGGAAACCAAGAGGTCTCTGGAAAAGTTGCCTCGAAAAATGATGTTTGATTTCAGAACTTTACGTAATTTATTTTAACAGGGCTTTTTTTTTTTGTCGTTGTTGTTGGGGTTTTTTTAACCTTGTTTCCCTCAAGCTGCTGGGATGAGGATGTTGGGATACAACATCCCTGCTCCACAGGTTTGCTTTAGCTGGGTTGGAGTGAGGTGTGTGAGGTGGGTTGGAAAGGGGGATCCTGGCACAGAGGGACCTGGTAATTTGGGAATAGGAAGTCCCCAAAGTGAGGGATGTGACAGCAGGGAGGAGATGGAGTCTCTCAGGTGAGCCAAGGATCTGTTGCTGTGGGAGAGTTGGAGTCAGGGGCTTCCCATGGGCTGAGTTAAGTTGGGGATCACATCAAATGCTGCTCTTCAGACAAGGGGCTTGTGGAATTCCTGGAGTGCCAGGAGAGGGGAGTGAGGTGGGATCACAGCCCTGTTCCTGCCAGGTTGGGTGGGAGAGGGAGAGCGGGAGTTTGGGTGAGAGGATGGGGCTGCACCTGAGCTCCCTCCCATCCTCCCTCCCATCCTCTCCATCCCATCCAAACCTGCAGGAAAACTGGGACGGTCCCTGAGGGTCAGAGGCACGTTTTTGGCAAATGTGGAGTTTTAGGATTGGGAACTGGATCCCTGTTTGATAATCCTGGGAGGACAGGAGTGGGAAGGGTGCCCAGGGCAGGACTGTGTCTGTGTGACCAGGGAGCAGCTGCTGCTCCCCAGCTCTGGGTTCCTCCCCAGCCAGACCCACCTGGAGCTCATTTCTGCAATTTCTGCCATCCAGGGGCTGCTCCCTCTCCATGAAGGCAGAGGCCCAAGCACTGTACTGTAAGTCCCCTTTTCCTTGAAATTCCCCCTCTTTGTGCTGCTTTTCCCATCCAGACTCCACATCCAGAGACCCTCTTGGGCAGAGGGGGAGGGATGACCTCGGGGTTGTTCCTGAGGGGATTGTTCCCCAGGAGAGCAGGGATGGTGGAATTCCTCCCCAAGGACTGTGTTTGTCAGACACCGAATCCTCTGCTGAGAAACAGCTCCTCAGCTGATGGTTTTTTCACCATTTTCTACCACTCACGTTGGGTTTTCCATGACATAGGAAACTTCAGGAACCAGGAAGGGCAGTTTTGGCCCAACCAACTCATTTTTGACTGAGCTGAAACCCCTCCCAGCATTTCTGAAAGGAAAAGAATAATGAAACAATGCTTTTTAAACGTTTTCTCTATCATATTTATACCCACCCCTCTTACCCTCTAGAAGAAAAAGCCAATTATGAGAGTGAGTTTTGAATTTCCACTGCTGATTTAAACTGTTGTGTTTCCTGTGCCTGGTCCACCCTGGGGGTTCTGTGCATTCCACATCACATTTGCAACCTGCAGTTTCTGTTGTGCCACTATTTTATGGTCAGGCCTGTTATTAAATGATTTTTAAATGCTTAAAAAGAAAAAAACAAAACAAACAAACAAACAAACAAAAATCTTGGTAAATCAATTGTATTCCAGTTTTGCAAAATGATTTTCTTCTCAATAAATTTACAGTATTAGGCTGCTATTCAGAATTCTAACATCTGGGACAGTTTGTTTTCTATTCTTTAGTCCATGGTCATGATATAACTTGGTTTTTGTTGTTCTTTTTTCCTTCTGAGAATTATGAACTTCTTTTCTGTGGCAGAAGATTAAACTGTCCAACCCTGTTCCCAGTCTGTGGCACGATGGCAGCAGCTCCTCCTGGTCCTCTGGGACACCCCTAAAAGCTGGGATTGTGCAGTGTGGTCTCTCCTAAGGGACATATTCCAGCAAGGAAAGGAAAAGGGGTGCTAGGAAAGGCAGGGAATTCCAGGCTGGGATTTGCTGTGGCTTCTTCATTCCCAAATTTGCATCCTTGGGCACCGCCAAGGAATGTGCTCAGGAACGTGTTCCCTCCTCCCTGCCCGGGCTGACAAACCAAAGGGGATGGTTTGGGGCAGCTTTGCAGGATTCAGGGACTTAAAGGGTTGGGTTTTGTTGCTAAAACGCTGCTTTGGAGAAGAGCAAAGAGAAACCCCACCAGTTTTGGGGTTGGGTTGGATGTTCTGGGAAGTGGGACCGAATTCCCCCTGGTTTTTTTCACTCCTAAAAATCATCCTGCAGGCAAAGTTGGGCTGGGTTTTCATCAGGAGAAGGGGGAAGGGTGGGCAGTGGGGGGGGAGCTCACATTGTCCCACTTTCTGCTTTTTTAAATTCATTTCTCCTGAGAGCTGGTGCAGCCAGAGATCCAAGGGATGGACAGAGGGACCCCCCGAGCAGCCAAACTGGGCCAACCCCCCGTGACCCCGAGCTGGAACCAGTGAGGAGCTGCAGTCGTGGCTTTTGTGGGACTTTCTGCTGGTTTGACCTGGACAAAAGTAGGTTTTGCTGCTGTTCACAGCCTCAGTTTTGCAGTTTTACCTTCAGGTTGCCTGGGAAGGGCAGTCCAGGGGCGGGAGGTCTCTTTGTCCTCGTTTGTCCTGCAGGTTCCAGGGGAAACTGGGAGTTAAAAACTCTGGGATGTGCCGTGTTTGTGCCTTGCAGAACAGTCCCAGGGCTGGGCACTGGCACAGCTCAGGGCTTGCAAAACCAGAGGCTGAGACAACAGATTGCAAAACACTTCCCAAGTTTTTGCTTTTCCAAAGGAAAAGCTCAACTCAAAGGAGCCTTTTCCCCGAGCGACCCGAAGCAGGGCCGTGAATCAAAGTGTTTGTGGACTTTCCCTATAAAAGAAAACACTGGAATGTTTTCATCTCCCTGTTTAAACCTCTCCTGCAGCCTGGGAGAATTATTTAATGCCTTAATTACCAGGTAAACAACTGGGATAGAGCAGGAAATTCGTTAGAAGAGGGCTGTTGTGAAGGAGAACTCGCTGTTTAAAGGTTTTCCAGTGGTGGTTCCTTGAGCTGCCCTGGGATCAAATTCAGTGTATTATGGTCAGATCAGTAAATATCCTTGTTCTGCAGGTGTGGAACTGAGAGCCCTGCCTGGAATTGTGGAAGGGAGCTCCAGGTCATTCCCAATCCAGGATCATCAATTCCCTTTTCACTTCCTTTTACATTTTCTGCCCAATTTCCTCCCTGAGGTTTTTCAGTCAGTGGATGGCAAATATTCCAGTAAAGGAGATGAGAATCAGGCACCTCCTTGTGGTTCAGCTGAAGCTACAAAAAGCAGGGAATTCCACAAATACCCCTTGGGAAATCTTCCACAAATATCCCTTGGGAAATCTCCCCTCCTGTCCCCGGCAGTTTTGGACACACAGGGAATGGCGTGGACAGAGTTCCCCTGGAGATATCCCGAGATATTGAGACATAAAATTAGTTCAGCCTGAAAAAGGACTCCTCCCGAGGCAGCCCAGGCACGGAGGGGTCAGATTTCTCCTGAGCCTTGGATTCATTAATAGTGCAAAGGTCTCCAAACCTGGATCTTGTGTAACCCTGGGACTCCTCGGGGGAAGTTCCCTCTGTGCCCTTTCCCGAGCACCTGGAGGGAGGAAAACGCTCCAATGGCAGCACAGGGAGGGGGATTTGGGATGAGCTGCACTCTGACCCCGTTCCCAGGGGCCAGGGGAGAGGAGATCCCGAGCCTTGGGAAGAGGGAGCGCCCGGGAAGCGCCTTGGTGGTGTGGAACTGTCCCTTCCAGGCACAGGTTTGTGCTGGCAGAACACACCAGGGCACCCTGACGTGCCCCTTGCTCTTAGGAAGCAAATGTTTGGGAATCTAAGAGTTGCTAATCCATAGGAAAATTCCCACTTGGCCCAAAACGTTGTGTCATGCTCCGTGAAAACTGAAGCCCTTTGTTACTCCCAGAAAACAACGGGATTTTATGCTGCTGTGGATTTTAATTTACTCACTTGAAGCACATTCCATAATCCATCCACTGCCTGCTGTTCAGGGGAAAAAAACCTCCAGGAACACCATGGGATTGTCACAGCAGATGAACCAGTGGTTTGAATGAATTCCAGCAGATGTGACCCGGGATCTGGGGCTGTCACAGCCCGTGGCTTTTCCCACCCTGCAGAGAAATCCTTCCCCAGGGGCTGCGACTTAACCCGGGGCTTTCCTGCCGGAGGGTTTTGGGGAGGCTGAGCCAGGAGGTGGCAGTGGAGCTCATCCTGCGGGGATGGAGGGAGGCGGCTCCGACGGGATCCCTGTTGGAACCTGTTCCTCATTAATTGCTAATTACAGAACCCCGGGATGGTTTGGGCAGGAAGGGACCTTAAAGCCCTTCCAGTGCCACCCCCAGGGAAATCTGAGGGACTGGGGAGCAATTCCTCCCTGTGAGGGTGGGGAGGGGCTGGGATGGATTTCCCAGAGGAGCTGTGGCTGCCCCATCCCTGCGAGTGTCCAGGGCCAGGCTGGAGCACCCTGGGACAGTGGAAGGTGTCCCTGCGTGGAACTGGATGGGCTTTAAGGTCCCTTCCAGCCCAAACCATTCCATGATTCTGGCTGATTCCATGACTCCTGATGGGCTGTGATTTCCCCTCCCCTCTCGTTCCTTCCTTGGTGCCTTTTGGCATTAAAGACAAACTGAACCCCGTGTCCAGGGGGAAATGTGAGGGGAACTCAGCTCCCCCCACTGAGCAGAGCTGGCCCCTTTGCCACATCCCCACTGCTGCCCTGGGGGAGACTCCCGGGAATAAACACCTGGGAACTTCATCCCACGGGGAAGATGCAGCAGTGGGGTTTGCTCTCTTGTTGTTTGCTACTTTTTGAGGGGGTTTTCCCTGATTTGACCATCTAAATATTATTCAGCCCCCAAAAATGTCTTGCTGTGAAGGAAATCCTGTTTGCTGGAGCTGCTGTTTGTGTGGAGGGAGGAGATGAGTGGCTGCAGTTGGAGTTTCCTCATCCACGTGCCTGGAAAACTGAGCTGGAGGGATCAGCTCCCCTGGGCAGGAAAGGGAAGCCTCAGTTTTACTCAAGAACTCCCCCAAAATACATCTTTGTCTGCCACAGGCTGAGTTCCCGGGGACTGCTGAGCTGGTCTTCCCCAAACTTTGGGATTCTTTGGGATGGAAAAGCAGCGAGGGAGGGACAGGCAGAGGCAGCAACGTGGCCACCATGGCCTTGGGGCTGCTCTGGGCTGATGCAATTCCCCTCCTTGGTGAAAAACCAGGACAAACTTGGACAGGAACATGGAGCACGAGGATGTTCCACCCATTGTGGGGAATCCATGTGAATCCATGTGTTGGGAAGAGGTTGCCTTGGCTATTCAGGGGCTGCCAGGACTGTCAGCCCAGGGCACTGTCCTCACTTGCTCCCCAGGGTTTTCCAGCAGTGGAAAATCACTGGGATCCAGGATCACCCCCTGCCAAAGTCCTCCGGCCGGGATGTTTCTGGAATGATCTTTGCCCCACTGCCTTGCAGCGGGAAGGAGGCACAATTTGCCCTTTGGAGTCTCCCACTTGTCCCCACGGCCTGAGGGGGAGCTGGTGCAGCTCCAAAGGGGGGGAAATGCCAGAGGAGGGACAGCAAAGGCCGGGCTGTGCCAAGGAAACAGGGTGTGCCCTGCAGCAAGGAGCCCAAAGGGCTCGGACTGCAGAGCTGATAAAAACATATCCAATATTTCCCTGACCCTGAGGCTCTTTCCAGGTGGCTCCAGGTGCCCTCAGTGGGGAAGGGTCGATTCCTTTGGCTCTGGGGAACAAGGGCTGCTCAGGAGGTCTCAGCAATACCCCGAGCTCTGCTCTGGGACACAACTGTGCCAAAATAAGGACAGTTTAGAGCACCAGGACAACGTGGCATTGCCGGGGCAGCCGCCCTGGTCCAGCCCAGCACAAACTGTGGGTTTTGCAGAGCTTCTGAGCTCTGTTTGTGCCCTTCCACTCTTGGACACTTTTAATTAAAGAGCAGGACGGAACAGCCTCCGATGGTCTCCCGATGTGCTTTCAGGGCCGAGCCGCTCCCTTTGGACAAGCTGCCCTTGTATTTTTATCGCCGGCGCCTCCAGGGCTCCTGCAGAGCCAGAGATACCGCGGGAGCCCCGCCCTGGAGCCCGGGCGGGTATTTTGGGGTGCGGGCACAGCCCTGGCAGGGTCACCCTGCAATTGGGGCTGCGGGGCTGCGCCAGCTCCCAAATTTAACCTGGGGACCCCAGAATTAGCCGGGGGACCGCCCTTCCCCCCGGGGCGGGGTGGGCACGGTGGCCCCGCAGTGCGGGAGGTCCCGGCTCCCCCCCCCCGGGTGTATTTTGGGGACAATTCCTACGTTTTCCTCAGCCAGTGCCTTCCTGAGCTTTGCGGGTTGTTCTGGGGCAAAATCCTCCCCGAACGGCTCAATCCCAACGCGGCCGGTGGGTTATTACCGCGGGGCGTGGGAGGGAAAGGGGGATTTGTTGGGTTTTTTTCCCGATTTGGCAACTTTGGGGCTCGGCGCGGGGGCGGGCGGGCGGCGGGACCTGCGCGGCGCCTCCTCCCCCTCCCCTCGGGAAAGGGGCGTGGTCAGGTCTGGCCCCGCCCCTCCGCGGCGCCCAGGCGGCGTCGCCATTGGCTGCGCGAGCGGTGACGTCAGCGCACTGCGGCGGCTCCGCGCGGCCCCGGTGGCGTCGCCTTAAAGG